CCGTCTAGGTATTTCAAATGTAGACCCCGTCTACATAAATCACCTTTCCTTATCTGAGTCTCCCGGAGACTCAATGAAGTATTCCCGGAATACTCCTGTCACAGTTCAGAGATCGAGAGTTAAGTCAGAGCCCACGGACAGCCGGACAGACAGACAGATTTTGTTTATCTTACCGGGTGACCGCAAACGGGTTGACCTCCCGATCTCGGTGGGACCTCCAATTGAAAGGTTGTCGATAGCCCCTGGCTATCAGTCTTTATAGTCGGTTTCAGGTACGGACGCGTCGGGGAGATTGACTTCATCTCAGAAAAGACAACAGACAGACATACACATACACACAGTGATAGTTGAAATCAATCTCTCAAGTTTATTATCGGGAAGAAAATTAATATTACAATATCTAAAAGAAAGGTGGGGGACATTACTATCAAAACCTTTATAATGTATTGGCAAACCACAATTTACACAATGTACATGTCATTAAATAGACCTCCCTGTTGGTGTCACCATGCGTTCACCTTTCTCAGGTCAACAACCAATAAGGTCTAGCTGAGAGTGGTGCGTCTCTACATTGTTGTTTCTGACAATAGGTCTTCAGTGATTTCGGTCTGTACACTTACCACCCAGACTTACTACTCATACAAAACAAATTATCTTATACTTCTATATGTAGAAAATAATAAACTTTAGACACAGAATGAGTGACTATAGGCAATCTCCCTGAGATTTCTTAGTCTCCCTGAGACAATTTTACTAACACTCCCGGAGTGTTCTGCTCCCAGAGCACATATTGGCTTAAATGGATATCGGACTAATCAGAGCCTCCCAGTTTCCTTGTATCCAACTTGTACAGGTTATATAGAAAATAATTCTACTTACCGGACAAGTGGATGGTCACTGAGCGGGTGATGCCGATATCCCGGACGAGCCCCCAAAACTGTTGGTTCTATTGACCCTTAGACCCCTGGTCTAAGTTCTCTGTCACTCGTTCTGTCTCCTCAGGCCTGGAGAAGCATTGGTTACAAGTAATCACACATGAGACCGTCTTGTAAGTAACCAAAAACTTCTAATTTATTCCACAACGAAAGCTCTCTTATATAGTACAATATAACGTGCAAGTGAGAATACAAGCATTTACGTCAATCCTGAATAATGATGAGAAGCAAAAAATTTTAATAAGGAATGTCTATAATATTACATAAAAACTTATCTGCTACATACAATAGAATCTCGCTAGATACTTTTCAAGGCTGTGAACATGATCTTTCTCAGGCATTTGTAATTAGTTATAAGTAACAAACAATTATTTTCTCATGGAACAGAAATATTTGACATTTAATTGTATATCATAACAGAAACAGGTGCTTGTTAATACAAAGAAATAATTGGATACTTTTACCGTCTCTACCAAGGCTAAGCTAAGATAAAAGATAGAAGAATTTTGTGAGTATAGTTCTGTAATACATAACTGACATAGCATATTTTCATTAACTCATTCTGGTTATAATACAAAACAATTAATCAACATGGAATATAAAATGGAGTGGGAAAAACAAAATGACAGACCTAAAAGACCTAATTGTGTTGGTGCTAATCCCGGTGTCCCCAACCAGACATCCCAGACGTTCGTAAATTTCTGGGCACATCCTCTATGCTGATAAATTAGTTTTTCTCTAATTAGATTATCGTTAACAGCTTTAATCCATTGAATATAGGAAAGAGGTGTGGGAGATAACCATTTCTGAGCTGTAAGCTTCTGAGCAATAAACAGCACTCTAAGGATAGCTGTCCCCTGCAGTTATTGAACCCAAAAGCAACATGTATTACTTGGCTTCAAGGTACAGAGCTGTCATTCCCTGGCTACTGTAGCTGGGAATATCTCTAAGAGGACCTGTTACCTGCCCATGCTATACCACAGAGGACCTGTTAGCCCCCTTGTGATAGCAAAAGTTAAGGCGTAAATTCACCTTTATGGGAAAAAATGAACTTACACTGTACACCGTAGACATCGCCCAGTCCCTGCTGTACTTATCTCAGACAGTACAGCAGTCTAGGGATTTGAAATTCCAGCTCCTCTCACTCCTCTTTCTGCAGCACTTCTGGAATGGATCACAAAATCACTCTGATCTGTCCTGGAAATGCTGCAGAAAGAAGAGTGAGAAAAGGGATTTAAAATCTCTAGACTGCTGCATCATCAGCCATGAAGGTAAGTAGAGCGGGGACTGGGGAAGTGGTGGGGGGGAGGGGAGGGAGTACGGTATTCATCTTTTAATTTTTTCTGGAAAGGTGAACTAACCCTTTAAATTAACCACTTGCCTACCAGGCACTTATACCCCCTTATTTACCAGGCCAATTTTCAGCTTTCAGCTCTGCCGCACTTTTATTGACAATTGCGCGGTCATGCAACATTATACCCATATGAAATTTTGATCATTTTTTTCTCACAAATAGAGCTTTCTTTTGGTGGCATTTAATCGCCGCTGGGCGCTTTACTTTTTGCGCTATAAATAAAAAAATTGCAAAAAATGTGAAAAAAAAAAAAGTTTCTTTGTTTCTATTATAAAATTTTTCAAATAGGTAATTTTTCTCCTTCACTGATGTGCGTTGATGAGGCAGCACTAATGGGCACTGATAGGCGGCACTGATGGGCACTGATAGGCAGCACTAAAGGGCACTGATAGGCAGTACTAATGAGGTGGCACGGATAGGCGGCACTGATAGACAGTACTAATGAGGTGTCACGGATAGGCGGCACTGATAGACAGCACTAATGAGGTGTCACGGATAGGCGGCACTAATATGCAGCACTGATAGGCGGCACTGATAGGTGACACGATGATGGGTACTGATAGACGGCACTGACTGGCATCACTGCTGGGCACTGACTGGCGGCACTGACTGGCACAACCGCTGGACACTGACTGGTGGTACTGACTGGCAGCACTGGTGGGCAGCACTGGTGGGTGGCACTGGTGGGCAGCACTGGTGGGTGGGCACATGTGGGTGGCACTGGTGGGCACAGGTGGGTGGCACTGGTGGGCACAGGTGGGTGGCACTGGTGGGCACAGGTGGGTGGGCACAGGTGGGTGGCACTGCTGGGCACAGGTAGGTGGCACTTCTGGGCACAGGTGTGTGACACTGCAGAGTGGCACAGGTGGGTGCACTGCTGGGCACAGGTGGGTGCACTGCTGGGCACAGGTGGATGATCTGCTGGGCACAGGTGGGCGGAGCTAGTGGGCGCACTGCTGGGCACAGGTGGGCGGAACTTGCGGGTGCCACTGCTGGGCACCGATCATCAGGGCACTGATCATCAGTGCCCTGATGAGTGCCGATCCTCGCTCTGACAACTGCCGGTTCTCGGCAGTACTTTCCTCACGATCTGACAGCGTGAGGAAAGTGCAGCCAAGAACCGGCACTTGCATTTCCCTCTGATCAGCGTGTCATTGGACACCGCTGATCACGTGGTAAAAGGCCGCTGTGATTGGCCTTTTACCACATCACGTGATCAGCTGTGTCCGTAGGACACAGCGATCACGGAGATCGCCGGGTGCGCGCCCCCTGGGGTGCGCAGGAGAGCGCGTTCTGGGAGGACGTCATATGACGTCCACTCAGAACTGGCAGTGCAGCCATCATTCGGCTATCTGCGGTCGGCAACAAGTTAAATATGAGAAAAACATATCCCTCTATAGTGTGAACTTGTCTCAATTAAGAGCACTAAGTGTGATTTTTGTCTGCTGCTTTGTTCCTCTGCTATCAGCATGAATCACTTCTGACAAGTTTTCCTGACATCAAGAAAAAAAAGGTGACAGGGAATGGAGACTCGATCAGATTGACAGTCCCAACTTTATTTATGTAAGCTCTGTGAAGGGGGTGTGTCCTGTCCCTCCAATCAGCTTCCAGAGCTTTCCTTACTGAGCTCTGCAGAGTGTACTTTCATCTCTCCGCCCTCTTTTTTTCTAAAGCCTCAGACAAGCTTTATAAGTTTTGGACTTTGAACTAATGTAGAAGAAAATACTGCAGATAAACAGGTACAAGTCATCTTTTTCACCTCTATGTATCACCTGAGGTCAGGCACTTCTCTGGGTATATGTAAGGGTTTACAACCACTTTAAATCTCTCAGCAGCCCTTTCCCTACACTGAATGCAGATGATTTACTAAGGCAGAAGAGCATGTTCACTTTTTTCTGCAAGGTCAGACAAGCTGTATAAATTCTGCCCTTTTGAATGCAGAGAAGAGATTACAGCAGATAAACAGGTACAATTTATGTAGGGAGGTTTGTTTCATCTCTGTGTATTGCCTGAGAAAAGTCACTTAACAATGTTTAAAAGCACCCCTCCCACACACCCCAACACAAACCTGCAGCATAAGGCTCAAGTGTATGTAAACATAAACTGTGCTACAAGTTGAGTGTCGCCCAGGGGCGGACTGACCATTTGGAAACTCGGGCACTGCCCGAGGGCCCTGGGTCAGTAGGGGGCCCCATGAGATACCCCTGGTAGCTTTTTCATAGGCTTTTTTGAGTTTAGCAAGGACACAGGGGCCCCATGATCCCCTATTGCCCGGGGGCCCCATGAGTTGTCAGTCTGCCCCTGGTGTCGCCATAACCATCGGAGTGAGTGCAATCATTCTAGGGCCATAATTCATGCTTAGCTCTAAACGGATAACCTGTAAAGGCTTTTAAAGTGTGCCATATGTAGTATTTTCCAGTAGTAGATATAATATTGTGTTTGTACTAAAATTTAATTTATTGTATTTTTTCTGAAAAAATAACTGTTCAAATATCATGTTCTTTGAAAAAAAAATTGCAACTGCTACTGATTTATTCTATGAAAATTGTTTGTGGGTTTTAAAGTAATTTCTAGCAAAAAAAGATGTCAACATGTGTTCACAACGTAAAAAAATTGCCCCAGTAGAAAAGTAGTTAAAGAAAATATCTTGTTTGAATATGGTTGATCAGATGACTCACTGCACTGTTAATCCACTGTGTTTTTATCCCCAGGTGGCTTTTGGCACAGCAGCCTGATTGACAAGAATTTGATTGACTTCTTTGTCCCTTTCCTACCGCTGGAGTACAGACATGTAAAAAGCAGTGCATCATAGCGGAGCTAAGAAATCGGGGGCTAACGCCCAATGAAGAGCTGGTATCCCGTGTGGCCAACGGGATGACTTATTTCCCCAACGATACTCGAATGTTCTCTGTTAAAGGCTGTAAACCCATCGCAAGAAAACTAGACTTCCTGGTTTAGCCAGATGCTAATCAGTGAAGGCCCAATCCTCTGCTTTATCCTTGTACTGGGTGTACAAGGTTTGGGTTTTTCGTGAATGCACATATAGCCAAGCTTCTCAGGTTCTCTCCAGCACTGCCTACACTGGTACTAATAGAGGTGATAGTATTCCTTGACTCCTCTCACAGTCCCTTCTTTCCTGATGTATTCAGCCTTTTCTAGGTAAACCTACACATTTTATGGCTGAATATTCATGGGTTTGCATAAACCTAATTGTGGTCGGTTCTCTTTTTAATGTTGACATTTTCGCCCACCAAAACTCAACTGATTCATCCAACTTATTTTTAAGGCCCTTTCGTTGCATTGACAAAATACAGCTAATTTGGCGAACATTTAACATGGAGCACAAATTCTCACTTGGGTAAAATATATATTATATATACTGTTATATATTTTATGTTGTATGGGGAAGTTTTAAAATGGCAATTAACATAACTTTGAATTGATTTTGAATGTATTTTTCATATTACAACCAGTGTACGTACCTGAATTTGACTTGCTATCAATGGCACCCTTGCAATCCCCTGCACAGCAGCATTCAGGTTAGGAACCAATCAAGTAACCTTGGAAATACATTGACGAACATGCTGATAGGAGTAGATAGCAGAGTGAGTAGAGGGATGATATTATTGGTCTGCTGTTGCTCTTTCACTGTACAGTCAGCAGGTTGGTGTACAGAAGACACCACTCTATTCATTAAATAGAATGGAACCGCTCTGGTCACATGATTTCTTGGCAGGTTTTGTGTAGAGAAGAGATCTCGAACATTGGCTGCAAATACCTGGAAGATGACATCACTCACAGGATTACTATTACTATGGAGCATTTGTTGTCAGCTGTCCCTCCTACACTGAAGCCACCACTGACAGCTGATCATGGGATCAGACTGGAGCAGCTTCCAAATAGGTAAGTGTAGACCTCTTTTCCTTACAGAGTTAGATAGAATAGGCTTAGAATGGGGGTGGGAGTAGGTTTAGCCTTGAGTCTCTAGTACACACAATCAGAAAACTGAATTAAAAAAATACCACTTTTGAAATGATTGTGCAATAATCTGATCGTAAGTGTCGCGAACATGCGCACCAGAGGCAGGACGCAGCCTCCATTTTGTTAAGAATCTCCATTTTCTCCCCTCATACTTTTCCCCCTCCCTCTCGGAGAGGCTCAGTGACATATGGCAGAGTGTGTGTGTGTGTTAAAAGTGTCACAGGCAGAGCACAGCAGGGAACCCCAGAGCTATAAACCATTTCTGAGCGAAATGCTGGGTTGTCTACCAGAGCTGTACAATTTAACACCTCGTAAAAAGATAACGCAGCCTTCCCAGGAGTTCAAAAGACATTCCAAGGAAGCACACCAGATAACCTTTTTAAAAGATCCATTTTTCCCCTATGTCTCATATCTTGGAATATGAGAGACTTACATAAAAACACAGGCATACCGTCAGATTGGCCAAGAGGAGGCGAAGAGTTTGATAGGTCACTCGCCTTGTCTCGAATACATAGGGAAGCAAAAAAGTAGATCTCGTGAACCATTCAGTGTAGAATTTCATAATTCATATCTAATCAATCCTTAGACGTGTCTGCATAATAATCTACCCGAGGGTGGAATGTCACTTGTGCATAGGAAAAGTTAGGAGCAAAATATGAGTTAGGAGAGATTCTGGCTCTAGTTGAGGTATCCGCCCGACGATCCCTCCCTAAACGGGGCATTGGTCCTTGACTTCAGAAACACCCCCTGCTAGGGAACAACAAAATGGGCTGTCAGGCCTAAGAGAGCTAAGTTGAAGAATTCTCCCATTTAACATCAATACCACCTGGGGAGACCCGCACCCTTTCGCTCTGAAACTTGATCTGCTAACCCAGGACTTTGGCAAGTACTTTAACCCTTTAACCTCTCTCTCTGTTATCTCTTTGCTGTGCTGTTGTTCTCTGTATATATATTTATATATATATATATATATATATATATATATATATGTTCTTTTTTCTGTAAATATTTTTATTGCACCCCTTTTTGACTTTCAGTAATAAATCTTTCCTTTTGAAAGTGTTGAACTGTTTCTATAGCTTTTAATTGCAATTTTATGAATTTCTGCCTCTAAAAAGAGCGCTACTGTGTTTGTTTAACCATCTGTATAACCGGCCTACGGTGACCGTGTTAGGGAGACGATTATCTCAATCATTATAGTGTTATTGCAGGTATAGCCGAGTTTCCTCTTTCTCTGTACAAAAAGGAGATGGTGGCAGTGTGAAGGGTTAATTGCGTAATTAACCTGAACCAGTAACAATCGCTCAGGCTGCTGGTACTTAGATTATGGTCCAATTAGCTGGAAAATCGTTGTGCAGGGTGCAGCTGGGTGTGGCATTGTTACGCACGTGACATCATGGTTTTAGATTGGCTAGTCCTTCGGTCATGAGTTTGGTGAGAAGGGCTGGGTCATCACATATTGGTGACAGCGATCGTGGGATCGTCGCATATTGGTGGCAGCGATCCCGCGTCCATCACAGTAAGTACACAGCTTTCATCCAAAATCATTCAAAGGAAAAACACGATTTTTGTCTAATCGCTTTCCCGTCGCCCTATAGCAGATATACTGCTACAGGGCGGCAGGGGTGCGCAAAATCATGTGTATATATACGTGATTTTGAATTTCCAGGTAGTGGGCGTGCGCGAGCCCTACCCGCGCCGCTATTCGCAACCTTGGCTGTCAATCACCGGGTCCCGGCCGGTGATTACTCGCCAGCTCCCAGTGATCGAGCAGCATTACTGACGCAGGCAGAGAACTGTACGTAAACAATACAGATCTCCCCTGTCAGCTTCTGCACACTGCTATGCATGGCTTTTCACTGGTGTCACATGTAACATGTGGCTTTAATCCATTGTTGTGCTGTGGCTTTATTACGCATGTATTCTTGGCAAATTAACAGACTTAAAGGTTGATTTACTAAAGGCAGATAGTCTGTGCACTCCGCAAGTGCAACTGCTCAAGAGCTTAGTAAATGAGCAGAAGCTCTGCTGACTTCCACCATCCAATCATGTTCAAGCAAAAATGCAGTTTTTTACATTTCCTAGCACTCGAGTATTCTTTGCAAAGTGGAGCTTCACCTCATTTACTGGAGAAACTGCATTTGCAGAGTGCACAGTCTATTTGCCTTTAGTAAATCAACTGCTTAATGCCATGGACGTGCCTTGGGGTGTTTATACGTGAAGTACAGATTTTATAATCGTAAAGAGTAGAAAACATAATTTTTCGAATTTGAAAGCTAACAAATGGCCTGCGGCTTCATTACTTTTCAATCACTGACTGGAGACATACTGCTGACTTCACTTGCTGCATGCCAGTGAAATGAAGAAGGTTCAGGGGTCAGAAATTGCAGCTTAAACAGAAACTAATGTAACAACCTCCAGGTTTAGCTAGATAGGTTTCTAGACTTTTTTTTAGATGGCTTTTTAGTGGCTGAGTAGCAGTCTGGAATGAGTCAACATGTAAATGATCACCTCAGGACAGGCTGAGAGGGTCTACAGGTCAGGGCTTCTGCAGCCTTCCCACCTTTCCAGAAATCTGAAAACTTTCTGGAACAGAGGTGGAGGAGGGGAAGATGCCCAGATCTGCATGTTTGAGGGACCTTGGCCAAACTTCTGGCAGGAGGCTGGGCATGGTGAGCAAGGCAACCCTCAAATATCAGAGAGCCTAGGGTGCAGTGTAGGGTGGAAGATTGAGGAAAGCTGGAGCCTTGGAGGGGGTCCCAGGGAGGCGAGCCGACCTACAGGCTGAATGCTGGAAAAGAGGATCTCCTCTGCCTTAATGTCTCTGGAGGAGAACAGCCTGTGCAGCAAGAAGGGAGCAAGCCCAGCGTAAGTCCTTAAGGCAGCCACCAATCCACTAAGCTAACAGGAGAGGACAGTGTAAGAACTCCTACACCCCCTGGGTCAGATAGGGCAGTCAGGTGTAATACCCAATTAGCTTCACATCTGGGACTGTTCAGATTGGCAGCCTGGCACCAACAACCACGCCACATTCAGAGTCACCTAAATCCCCTTTCTTCTCCATTCTCAGTTTGAACTTCACAGAGGTGTATTCTCCACTCCTAGATGCCTAAATGCATTGAATTGCTGCCTTGCGATTGACTGATTACCAATTTGTGTTACTAAGCAATTAATAGGTGTACCTAATAAAGGGGCCGGTGAGTGTGTATGCAACTACTGTAGAATTACATATACATGAAAGACCATAGTATACACTTTTGTAAAAATAACAAATAGGTACAATAGAAAATTCATTAAAAAAACTGTAATATTGCTATCCAATTTGTTGCTAAAACATAATATACAATAGCAAGGCAATATATGCCCCCATATACACACTGCCCTTATCATGTACTCTATACAGCTAATCTAATCCTTCTGCTAATGATAAAAAAATAGTAGGACTGTGATAGTTTTTTACGCCACAGCTAATTGTATTCTGTAGGAGCCTACAAGGGGTAAAAAAAACAGGATGCATACAACAGAGTTGAAGACATCTCAACACTGGGAGATGAGACTAATCTGACATGACATGTTGCTTGAATGCACCAGAGAGTAGCACTATGGTCAAGGGAAATACACATTTCTTTTTCTCCCTTGGTAAGAAGTATCCAGGGAAATCAACCTTCCCCAGGCTCAGATCTTGTAGATCCTCATACCAAATGCACCCCAAGGTCCATTAAAAAGTCACCTGAGGTGGATCAGCTCCTGCAGTTATGCAAGTGTGTGCCTTCGTCGGGCTCACAAACGTTTACCAACCAATTGGCATTATTATAAGATGAGTTTAAAGTAGAACTATAGGTAAAACTATGTCCCCTTTTAGTGATTTCCCTTCACTTCCTGTCCCATAGCCAAACAGGAAGCGAGAGGAAATCCCTGCAAATTAAAGGAATTCCTTGGATACTCACAGGTCACCAGAACTAGTGTCCCCATTGGAAGATTTCCTCTCTATTACTTTTCTGGGGACAGCCCAAAATTTGGGATATTCTTTTACTTTCACGATAATGGATAAACTGGACAAATGGAGAGGGTGATTCTTCTTAACAGGACAGCATTACACTGACACAGGTTCTAATCCATCTCCACTCCATCCAAAACTAAAAAAAAAGTTTTGTCTTTAGTTATACTTTAATGGTATTCAGCTCTTTTATGATCGGACCAGACCCTCTATCTCACTCACAGCGTATACTGAGGACCTTCTCATATGACACTTTAAAAGTCCCACAGTAGTAGAATATATGGTATGTTATATTTCTGGGATGTAATGTTGCTCATAGGGGACTCTGTATTGTGGAATAAGAATACATGATATTTATATACAGCATTTCATATCTATCTATTAAATAAAGTATAGACGACCTGTCTGTAATATAGAAGAAAAGAAATTACAGATACTGTAACTTTCCTTTTTTGTCATCTTTCTTTGTGAGCACAAATAGGTCTAAGTCCCACTCTGTTACCACTGTATCTGTAGCTAAAAGGGTTTTTTTTTTTTTTTTTCCTTTTCAATAGAGTAGGAAATGGTTGAAACCCCGGCCAGGCTGTTTTTTTACGATCTTTGTACTAATATAGAAATTTCCCCTTTACTTCTTGTTCCAGAGATGAAACAGGAAGTTAAGGAATTCCCCTCACCAGAGATTCTTCTATTAGATATTTGTCTCTTGAACAGGTGTCCCTATTGGAAGATTTCCACTTACCTCTTCTCTAAGAATTTGGATTTCCTCCTTTTCCTTCTCAGTGACAATAGTCAGCAGTACAAATAGTCAGGTGAATCTCCCCAATGGGGAGCAATAAATACTTGAGCGAGGTCTTACCTATCCCCACATTGTCAAAAACAAAGTCTAGAGGTGCACTTTAACCACTTGTCTACTGGGCCAATTAATTTTTCACACACATGTTAAAATCTGCATTTTTTGCTACAAAATACAACCCCCCCCGGAGAATTAAATAGCAGCATTTGATAATGTTGCATGATGGTTGTGAAGCTATTTATCAAATGCATATTTTCAGGATTAAAACAATAGAATAAAATACATTTCTGTACTACTATTTTTTTTGTAAAAACAGGGTTGCATTGAGTAAACAGATACCAAACATGTCAAGTAACTAAAACTGCACGTGCCTGTGTAATTACAGAAAACTACAGTACCTAAAATTCTCCATCCTTTAAAAGCATTTAGGTTGTCAGTTTAGAGTTAACAACATGGATTTATGCCCCTGTAGGCAGATCTTCTACAGTGTGGGTTTTGTTACCTTTAGTAAGGTAGTTGGCTTGCCCAGGCTGGGGAAAGAGTTAACTTCCAGGACCTCAGTTCCTGGGCTTTTGGTCTTGGGCCAGCCTTCTACCCTGTGTGATAAATAAACAGGGAGAAGGTCTGATTCGGGGGGAGGCGGCTGCCAGAGCTCAAGAGCAAGAGTCTAGGGGAGAGTCACCAAGTACAAGGAGCCCAGCAGTTCAAGAGCCAGCATGTAACCCCACAAGACTCCAGGATTCCAGTGGACACTACCGGCTATGCTACTATCACCTGCAAAGGTATGCCTGGGCAGCCACCTCTGCTAGGTTAGGGTCTGGACTATGTTATGCTTGTTATTTGTTATGCCAAACTGTCTCAAGTCTGGTCTGTCAAAGGTGGTGCATGATGGTTTCTGGCTTATGAAAGAACAGGGCCAGTAAAGCACATGTGGAGTATGAAGCAAAGCCATTAATAAAGGGTTAATAAAGGGTTAACTTGGCAAGACAAGTGGAGGCGGAATGCAGTTGCTATGTGCAGCCGGTCATGAAGCGTGGTGCCTGGCAGGGCGGTGGGTCCTCTGGTAGTGAGGGGGTTGGCATTCTGGCCTCCTCCCTAATGGTCACCTCCCCAAGACAACTGGGACTGAACCCACATTATGGAGACCCACAACCTGGCCACATGGTATGAGGGAGCAGCGAGAGTTAATCAAGTGCACCCATGAAGTCTGTGCTAGGTGCACAGCAGGACTCCATTCTGTCACTGGGCATGAAGTAGCAGAGGTATTCTGGATGGTTGGAGTGGGTATAGGCTCAGCGGTGTCCCTCCTAAATGCAAAAACTTGACAGCAAGGTGTAGAGACATAAGACAGCAAGTTTCACAGAGGGTCTTTGTACATTTATTTATTACACACAGTGCACAGCTCATCTCTAAGCCAGGGTACCTTTTGACTTTCACATGAATGCAGCCACGCTTGGTCCTGGCATTGATGAGCTGTACACATGTGAAAGGTATCCATACATGCAGCACAAAGTAGCCCTGCCAACAGCTCTACAATTTTTGCTCCCACTCTGACTGCCATGGCAATATCACATGTATGGTGCATTTTAAACACTTCTTGAGATGTACCCGTCCGTCCTTGAATGGGAAGGGTGATATCTCGGTCGTCACTGCAGCTATGCTGATACCATTTTTTTTACAGCCAGTGATTTCCTACACAGCAAAAGTCAACCTAGTGGCAACACTCGATTACTTTTACAGGCACTGGAAGGGGTTTCCCATCCCCGCCACCTTTACAAGGCTCTCCCATCCTATCTGGAAGCCCAGTAAGGATGCATCCACTGTGATTGTAGGAGCTGGAAGCAATGAAGAGTACATCATTTCCGGTTTCAGTCTGTTATTTAGAAATGGTTACCAGATTGCCATTTCTGCTATGGGCTTGTTTATTTGGCTATGACTTAAGATATATATCACATATATTGGTTTTTTTAAGGACAAACAAGGCTTTCTTTTTGTGAATATTGTCTTGCAACAATGATTACTGCACATAAAAAATGCACATTTTATTTTGTAATTTGTCCTGTTTAAAATGACACTAAAAATATGATTCTGGTACAAAGCACTGGAAAGTTATTTACAAGTGAAGTTTTTTTTTTTTTTTTAATTTTTTGATTTTTCTTTTTTTTTTTTTTTTTTAAATGTCAAATTTGTAAATATATGTTAAAGGTGTAAAAATATTAACGAACAAAAGAAACAAAATAAAAAAGTTTTAATTATTAGTTATTAACCACTTGAGCTCCAGAGGATTTACCCCCCTTAATGACCAGGCCTCTTTTTGCTACTCGGCACTGCACTAATTCAACTGATAATTGCGCGGTCATGCAATGCTGCACCCAAACAAAATTATGTCCTTTTTTCACAAAATAGAGCTTTCTTTCGGTGGTATTTGATCACCTGTGCGCTTTTTATTTTTCACGCTATAAACAAAAAAAGACCAAAAATTTTGAAGAAAAAACAATATTTTTTATTTCAGCTATAAAAAAATATATAGTAAACTCAAAGTTGGTTATAAATTTAAAGGACAAAATGTATTCTGCTACATGTTTTTGGTAAAAAAAAAATCCCAATAAGTGTATATTGATTGCTTTGTGTGGAAGTTATAGCCTCTACAAACTATGGTATAGATACTGCAATTTACGCCATTTTTCTGCTATACAGCACTGTGCTAGTTTAACGGACAATTGCGCGGTCATGCAATATGGTACATAAATGAAATTTACATCCTTTTTTTCCCCACAAATTGAGCTTTCTTTCGGTGGTATTTGATCGCCTGTGCGGTTTTTATTTTTTGCGCTATAAAAAAAAAAGGCTGACAATTTTGAGGAAAAAAAAAACAATATTTTGGACTTTTTGCTATAAAACATGTCCAGTAAAAAAAAAATGCAAAAATCAAATTTAGTCATAAATTTCTGCCAAAATGCATTCTGTGACATGTCTGTGCTAAAATAAAAACCCAATACGTGTAAATTAATTGGTTTACGTGAAAGTTATAGTGTTTACAAATGGCGGGGAAAGATACTGGGATTTTTAGGTTTTTTTTAATACCTAATAATGGCGGCGATCAGCGAATTATGGCGGCAATCAGGGACTTATGGCAGCGACCAGCAACTTATGGCGGGACTGCGGCGGACATTCTGACATTGGGGGGTACTGACTTGGGGTCACTGACATCCCCAAAAACACTAATACAGTGATCAGTGCAAAAAAAAAACCACTGACACTGTACTAATGGCAATGGGGAGGAAGGGGTTAACTTTATTTTGCAGGGAAGGGTTATAGGAGTGAGGGGAGTGTTTTACTAGGGGGCGGGGTGTGTGCTGAATGGGACAAGGCTGATCGAGAAAGAGAAACTGTTCTTTCTCGATCAGCTCATCCTCGAGCTGACAGGGAAGTGACAGACAGCACAGCTACTGCAGCTGTGCTCTCTGTCACTGAACATCCTGCTCATCAACGAAGACAAAATCGTTCGATCAGTGGTTCCGCAAAAATTTTCGTACGTCTTTCTTATCGTGTGTACAGGGCATTACCTAGAGCTCTCTGGCTCTCCTGCACTCATGGTAAGCTTAACTGCCATAAAGAAATGGTCTAGCGAGGTCCAAGTTGTAGGCTGAATATACCTTACTAACATACGCTTTCTGCTTTTTCTTGCTAACAGAAGCTTGCCTAATCTCTGTTGCGCCTTCAGTTATTTACAATAACTTGGCTATGGTAAGGTTTAATAATAATAGATCGGTTGTCTTTAACCTCCCTAACGGTATTCCCGAGTGTAGCTCGGGGTAAAATTTCTATGCCAAAAGCGGTAACCCCGAGCTACACTCGGGCTTACCATGCAGTGCTGCATAGGGAGTCCCTGCAGCACTTACCTTGTCCTTCGCTCCCGCGATGTGTCCCCTGAAGCGTCCCCGGCCATCTCCTCCAGCGGATGCCGGCATCCGCCTCCTGTGTTCCGGTCCCTGTGACGTCGGGACGTACGGGCGGTGGGAAATTTGAAAATTTAAAAAAAAAAATGACATTTTTTTCAAAACGATTTTACATAGTAAAACATTGCTGTTTCAACCCATTTCACATACATTTTGTCCCTAGTGCTCTGTCCTGTGCCCTGCCTGCATTTTAAATGTTCTTTCTGCCTGGAAACTTAGAAAAGTCCATGGCGTCCAAAAAGTGTCCCTTTAGGTCAAAAGCGGGCTTAGATCAGCTAGAGAACAGTGATAGTAAATCAGAACCACTTGCAGAATTGAGTGATAATGATTCGTGGAGAAATTCGTCATCAGACACTGAAAATGATTTTGCGACTTTGCTCAGCGATGTGTGAACTTGGCGCTATATTTCAAATTTCAGTGTTTTTGGTTTGATTATATTATTGAATTAAATGTATGATTTAGAATCTTGTTCAGACAGATTTCAGTGAGTTATTCCTAAAAATTACAGCCTACAATAAAAAAACTACATATTTCCATGCAAAATAATGGTACCGCTTTCAGCACCAAAAATATGAAATAATCATACCGCCAGGGAGGTTAAAAGGGCTCCTGCTCTTGATATGACCTGAATTTGCCCTCTTCTGACCGGAGACAGTTGTAATACCATTGAGCCATGAAATCCCTGTATGTGTGAGGGTTTTGGTCACAAAGAAAATTCTGCCTGGAATCCTCCCACCACCTGGTGAAACTCAGAAATTATTCTTTGGCTCTTGGTGCTCATGACTCTGTAAGACAGCTCTGACACTCTATATCTTCATCTTCGCCCAGAACTCACAGCAATTCTTTTCGGTCATGAATTGCAGGCAGGAGAGCTTCTGGCTACCACTTTAAGGTGGATCTGACACATTCTTTATTTGGAAAAGGCATCTTCACCCAAGGCTCACAGCAATTCTTTGTGGCAATGAGTAATGGGCAGTAAACCTCTGGTTACCACTTTAAGGCAGTCCTGACACACTCTATCTGTAAAGACAACTTCCCCCAGGGTTTATAGCAATTCTTTGCAGCCATGAATACTGGGCAGAAGAGATTCACCGACTGCTTTCTCCCGAAAGAAAACTGGAGTGTCCATAGCGCTAGGGTTTTGCAGTCTGAAGAGGGTCTTCTTTAGCTTCTTCTGGATTTCTGGTGCTTCTCTCACAGTGAACTTCAATAGGGCAGGCTGGGATACTTGGCCGAGAGAGAGCCCTGTTAGTGCCTGAGTGCACTTTTGTAGAGTAGGAAAATATCTACCTGGTCTAATGACCCTTACCTATAGGAACTGTGTATGCAGTGAACTTATAGTGCAGAGCAGATGCAATACTAATATATTCAAAAATAATAAAGCAGCACAGAGACTTGAGTAAGGGTGTATGTACCTGTGGTAGCAGGCCCTTAATGCAGAATTTGTAGCTATGGGTGTTCTTGCATGTAATCGTAGCCTGTAAATGCCATATTTGTAAAGACGCCGGCTTTTGAAAACTATTTCTCAACTCTGCTTGTCTCCATCTCCTGGCAATCTAATTTATTTGCCCATTTCCACAATGGCTGTTAGTCACCATCTTGAAGTCGGGCAAAAAATGGCTAAGGTAGTGTCAGGAATGGACTTGCCAATAATGGTGGGACTCACCTGCCTTGTGGGCTGCAGTACCAGGGCTGGCCAGCGGGTGCTCTCAGCAATCAGAGACTCAACCCTGCAGTCAGCCAAAACACCTGAGGCTGATTGCAGGTGTATTTAAGGGATGGCCAGACCTGCAGTCTGTGCCTTGGTGTGTGTTTTTCCATGGGCCCCTGTATCTTGTTACCTGCATTCCTGTTCCTGTCTGACTGATTTGTTGCCGACCCTGCCTGATCCGGACCTCTGCTGACTTCTCCTGTTTGATCCCTGGCTTGTGACCCCGACCATTCTCTGCCTGACCCCCTGTACCTACCTGCCCGTTAGTTGCTGTACCCGGCTCGTGACCTGACTACTCTCTGCCTGCTCCTCCTGTTCCTACCTGCCCGATTGTTATTGACCCGGCCTGCCTGACTCGCTTGCATTGTATGTATTGTTATCTGTGGGTGGTTTGGTTTGGTTCGTTTGCACTGTGTTATGTTTTCGTATTGCACTGTGTTTATGTATTGTTAGTATTAATAAATTATATTGTTTATAACATATCTGAAGCCTGCGTTTCCCTGCGTCAGTTCACATACCTCTGGTCATACCCGGAGCCCTGACAGGTAGTGCTTGCCCAAACCAAAGATGGTGAGCTCTATCAACTTCACATGGTTAGAATGATGCATCAATCCTTTGAATGTAGCCAGTTAAGTTTTTTTTCCTTCCACATTGGCCACTAGAATGCACCCTGGAACACAGTGCATCTGTTGGCTGTCATACAGGAGACATAGTACACAACTTCTGAGGACATTAACAAACTCCAAAAAATGAAAACACACTTGTCTTGGAGATGTGGTGTCACAGCTCCATAGATTCACTTTTTCTTGGGAGACAGGCTGGGAAAACTCCAGACAATGCGAACACTTCTGAGGAAGATATCCCTGGCTGCCCCCTGTATGTGGGACTACTTAGACTTCACCCAAAAGGATCCCCAGAAGAGGTTCCTTGCCTTATTGGAGCCTTTGTAATCCAAAGTCAGGGACTTTGTGCTACAGGAGAGGCTGAACCTGTGTGGACAACCTCCAAAGCCAGCAGGTAAGGGTTTCTTCTCTTTACACTAATTGTGAGGTCTGTGAAGGCAAAAAAGGAAATGGACTGTTGTGTGGATATATCATATATTTTATATAGCTATGCACTGGTCCTGTGGGTGAAAGTATGTTGGGCTACTACCACTTGTATACTTCCATGTTGATGCCAGGAAAACTAGTTGGCTAGGCAACTGCTAGTTTTGTTTAGCTATTGCTGACCTTCTTTTGAAAATGCTAGTTGCCTGGCCTGGTCACGGTGTAGCTTCAAAACATTTAAATCTGCATACTTGTTCCAGATCAGTGACTGAGTATTGAATTCAGAGGGTCAGCATACCAGCCAGAGAACTAGCATTTTCAGAAGAAATCCAACAACAGCAGCCTCTGATTTCCCTGTGACAGATTTACTTTAAAGAGAGTGAGACTTTAATTGGGCTTTAAAGTCATATAACCCAGCATGTTATGATTTGTAACTGTTTTTGTTGCTGCAAAGAAATGTCCTACAAAACCTTCTTACACTCAGTGAAAAATGCTGCTTTCACACTGCAGCTTTCTATACTTGCAGAGCAGAGTAACCGCCACACCCCTCATTACAAGTATCCTCACACAGACTTGTAGTGCTGGGGAAGAGAAAGCGTGTGTCTGACCAGGCTTGTTAGATTAGAGAATACTCTGGGATTGTGGTCCGACTTGTGTCCCTATTGAACTTAAAAGTCCTATTTAGGCACACTGTGTAACTTCTATACCTGGAGAGTGTAGGTAGGACTAAACATTGAGATTGACAGTACAATTATTCTAGTTGGGCTTTAATGATTCATATCCGATAAATAAAAATGGTACTAACATCACTGGGGTTTATCAGGTGACAGTTGGGCAGTATGGCATTCTCCCGATGGAGAAACACATAGGAGCTCCACAGGTGGCTGGACGCCTCTTGCAGCCTGCTGAAACTTTTGTAAAGTTGCTGGTAGTTGTGTTTCATCCTCTGTGTATTCTGAACACACTGCTCCTTTGTTTGCTGGAGCTGGGACATCATCAGCTCCTAGCTAGACTTATTGTCCCAGATCAGGAAAGTGATGTTACTCTGCAGCAGGGGCGGACTGACCATTTGGAAACTCGGGCACTGCCCGAGGGTCCTGGGTCAGTAGGGGGCCCCATGAGATGCCCTTGGTACCTTTTTCATAGGCTTTTTTGAGTATGAGCAAGGACACAGGGGCCCCATGAGTTGTCAGTCCGCCCCTGCTCTGCAGGTTCATGGTCATCTTCTGCTGGTCCACCAACATTTCCTGGAATTGGCTTTAGTTTATGTGGAGCTCCTCTGCTTTCTGTTTTACATCACGCTGCTGATTAGACACCTGAAGGTCTGAGAGTAGAAAAGGTGAGGAATGAACTGAAGGCCATCACCCTACAGCTACTATAGACCAAATATACTTCAGTACAATTATGTATTAACCTATTATACTCTCCTCACCACCCAGCTACTGTATATCCTAGCAGGCTCCTACATCTATCACGCCAAGATCTGTATACCCAAGCCCAGCTCCACTCAACTTCTTCAGGATCATAAAGATTTTCTAAGGGCCACTTCTGCCTTTTTATATAGCTGTTGTGATCACCCTCTGAGGATATGTGGGCCTCTTTAACCTCCTTGGCGGTATGATTCTTTCCGATTTTTTGTGCTGAAAGCGGTACCATTTTTTTTGCATTGAAATATGTAGTTTTTTATTGTAGGCTGTAATTTTTAGGAATAACTCACTGAAATCTGTCCGAACAAGAGTCTATTAAACATTCCGGATATGATAAAATTTGAAACACAAAATCATAAATTATAATTTCATAAATAATCATAAAAAATAATAATATAATAATAATAAATTTAATTCAATAATATAATCAAACCAAAAACACAGAAATTTGAAATACAGAGGCAAATTAGCACATCGGTGAGCAAAGTCGCAAAATCGTTTTCAGTGTCTGATGACGAATTTCCCCACGAATCATCACTCAATTCTGCAAGTCTGATTTACTATCGCTGTTCTAAAACCGCTTTTGACGTAAAGGGACGCTTTTTGGACGCCATGGACTTTTCTAAGTTTCCAGGCAGAAAGAACAGTAAAAATGCAGGCAGGGCACAGGACAAAGCAGTAGGGACAAAATATATGTGAAATGCATTGAAACAGCAATGACAGCGAGAATTTTTTAAAAATTTCAAATTTCCCGCCAGTTTCGGCGCCCATACGTCCCGACGTCACAGGGACCGCAACACAGAAGCCGGATGCCGGCATCGGCCGGAGGAGATGGCTGGGGACGCTGCAGGGAACCCATCGTGGGAGTGAAGGACAAGGTAAGTGCTGCAGGGACCCCCAGAGCAACGCCGCATGGTAAGCCCGAGTGTAGCTCGGGGTTACCGCTCTTGGTATAGAAATTTTACCCCGAGCTACACTCGGGATTACTGCTAAGGAGGTTAAGGCTCCATTAACATTAGCA